AATAGATGAAGAAAAAACGATTGCTATCGATATCAAAGGACATTTTTTACAAGAAAAAAATTACATTCCAAAAGAAGAGTGTAAAATGATGTGCCCCTTGCACACAATTTCAGATCAGCATATTATTGATACAGCTGAATTTACTACATATTGGAAGATGGAAAGAGACACTGCAGCTTGATTTCAAATAATGAGATTTTTAATTTAAATTTTAATTGCTTTGTGACTAATTGATTTTATTAAACTTTTACGTCAATTGTACTGACAGCTCATTTCAACTATTGGACTCGCAGTTTTGTCAAAAAAAAAATTATAATATGGCAATACTCCTTATCTCTTTGTTCGTCTTTGTGTCTGCTTCTCGTGTAATCTTCTCAAAATTCCTGGCTTTTAAAGAACATCCAGAGCCAGTCTTTACAAATGTTGGCACACAGCATCCTTACGTAAAGGGCAATGAAAGGAAACCATATTTAAGATTGGAATATGTAATTATTTTTTTTATTTTCATAAACGCCCTTTTTAAGTTAATCAATGTATAACGGCCATATTTTGTATCTGATAAATGAATGATCCAATATGTTTGATCATGGTAACATTTTGAAGATGTTATCAAATAAAAATGCTCTACCAAAGGAATTTACAAAATTTTGATTATTGACAAATTAATTGCACCTTAAATTTTACATTGAAGTCTATGAGCAGCGTATATTTTTATCAGATATTGTTAAAAATAATTTGAATTTCAAACAAATCTTTTGGTGAAAATATGCATACACTCCCTTATTATTAAAGTACTGAGTATGAAATATAATAGATTATTTACTACAGAAATTTTGAGAAATCAAAAATTTTCTTCTTTTCATCAAGGGCAGATAACTGTTCAAAAACTTAAAACGTGCAAAATGACTGTCTCTTTACATGCTAGCAAACTTGTAAATTCTGTTCATTTCACTTTTATCGTTATCTAGCAATGCGTTTTAAACTAGTGTAAAATTATTTAAAATCGTCCAAAATTCCTTCATTATACATTGAATGCCTTCATTACTGCTGCACTAAAAATACTAGCTTCAAATATGTGTTCCTGCACCTTTAATTTACGCATTGACATAAACTATTAATAGATGTCAGCTTTCAATAATCAGATTTACCCACACAGATATGTAATAAACTACGAATATATTAAGTGTACCAATAATATTAAACGATGTCGATCATTAGATGATATATTAGAAGGTGTATGAGTGTATATACATAGATTATGTAAATGTACATGTTTACATGGAAAAAAAATAAATAAAAAAAAATGAACCCAAATACATGTAATAATTTTATTAACATGTTTGATTTTTAAACATCTAAAGATGTCATCCAGGTGGCCAGTTCATCTGTCTGCCTCCCATCACATGTATGTGAAGATGATGTACTGACTGGGCACCATCTGGTCCATCGTTAATTACTAAGGGGAAAAACAGAAATTGTAAAAATTTTGAGTGAGAAACAAAATGGTTGACATAGATGGATTTTTTAGCAAACCTATGAAATTGCTTTAAAATGTCTTTCTATCCGTATGTTATCAATGTTGTGATTAAATTTAAATGCATTATTTGTGTATTGACATGTTTTAACTCAGCTTAAGTTTACCATCTATGTTATACTTCTACGTATGTTAATTTACCTAGTCTGTATCCATTCGATAGATTTTCCTGCTCTGCAACTTTCTTGGCAGTAAGTAAAAGGTGTCCTAAAAGCTGAAAAAGGAAGTTTCCATCAGAGAAAATAAAATAGAAAATCAACATTTGTGCAATTACATAAAGATATATACTTTTCAAATTTTTTACCTTGTTCATAAATGTGAACTAGAGGATAAAGGTCTTTCATAATACAAATGTGTATTATCTGTGGCAAGACAGTTTCAAACATACTGTGATTTTTTACCCTGTGACATTGACCTTGCTGTAACATTGACCTTTAAGTCCAACCTAGTCTTCTAAAACCGTACTCTTGGCTATAACATTTGAATGAGAGGAGATATTGCTTGCATATTCCATAGAATTTTACCTGCTTCAAGACCTATCTCAATAGACTACAAGTTTTTCCTCATGAGGTTGACCTAAAATGTTGACCTTCTTTATATAAACGTTAACTTTCTTCATGACTTTTGAAAGAGAAGAAATAATTATGGTTTTCATATTTGACAAGTACATGGCCTGTAACAAGATGTTCTTAGGCATGCTATGATTTTTGACCCCTTATTCTTAACCTTTATGTTTGATCTATAAATTTCATATCTTTCAAAAAAGTTTCTTTTTGGAGAATAATTTTGCATGACATATGAAAAGGCTTATTTATTTGACACATTATATCATAAACGAGAAAATTCAAAGAATTGTGGTCCCCTGCTTTCGGTTTTATTCTGGCTGGGATGTCTTTTTATGACATAATGTGTCAAATATGACGCCCTATTATGCCATTCAGACGTTATCATCGAAGTTGTTTTTTTTTAAATTGGGTCAATTGTGAAGCTTAAGTTCAAGGGGTCAAAAGTCATAACATGCTCGGAAATATGTTGTCACAAGTAATACATATGTCAAAAAATATAAAAGCCCCATCTCTTCTCAATTAAAAGTTATAAGGAAAAATTTACATTTTTGAAAAGTAGGTGATGTTTTGGATGTCCCTGTTTGCTCTGCTCCTATTTTTTTTTAATTGTTTTATGGACTTTAAATCTTGGGTACTGTTAGTTATCTCCATATGTTTCATGAAATCTCTTTCTCTTCTCATTCAAAAGATATAACCAAGCTTAAAATTTATGAAAAGTAGGTCAAACTTGCAGGTCAAGGTCAAGAAGTCAAAAATCATAGTGTATTTAGAAAGATCTTGTCACAGGTACATGTACATGTAATATGATAGTCCTATTTCTTCTCATTCAAAAGATATGACCAAGATTGAAATTTTTGTGATGGACGGACAGATTGACAGACATATATATGAGATTTACTCCTCACTTTCAATAAGAGCATCCCATCCACGAAGGCATCAAAAAGCTTGGGACAACAATTCTTAAAAATTTAATTTGCTAGTTTCTTTGAAAAGATTTCTGGATGCTTAAGAGACATTTGAACCAAAACTAGGCAGTCCTTAAAAAATGATATTGATGTTATGATATTTAAAATTACATTTTATTTGGAGAGCCATTAATCTACACTTCATGTAACTTGCTTTTTAGCTCACCTGAGCCAAAGGCCCAAGTGAGCTTTTCTGATCAAAATTTGTCCGTTGTCTGTTGTTGTTGTTGTCGTCGTCGTCGTTGTAAACTTTTCACATTTTCATCTTCTTCTCAAGAACCACTGGGCCAATTTCAACCAAACTTGCTACAAAGTATCCTTGGGTAAAGGGAATTCAAGTTTGTTCAAATGAAGGGCCACACCCTTTTCCAAGGGGAGATAATTATGAATTAGAGAAAATTAAATGGAATTTTTGAAAAATCTTCTTCTCAAGAACCACTGGGCCAGGAAATATGAAACTCATGTGGAATCATCCTCAGGCAGTGTAGATTCAAGTTTGTTCAAATCATGTCCCCCGGGGGTAGGGTGAGGCCAAAATGGCCGATCAAAGTTTTACATTGGAATATATAGGAAAAATCTTTACAAATCTAATTCTTCTCAAGAACCACTGGGCCAGGAAAGATGAAACTCATGTGGAATCATCCTTAGGTAGTGTAGATTAAAGTTTGTTCAAATCATGACCCCCGGGGGTAGGGAGGGGCCAAAATGGCCGATCAAAGTTTTATATAGGAATATAGGGAAAATCTTTAAAAATCTTCTTCTCAAGAACCACTGGGCCAGGAAAGATGAAACCATTTCGGAATCATCCTCAAATAGTGCACGTGTAGATTCAAATTTGTTCAAATTATGACCCCCGGAGGTAGGGTTTGGGCCAAAATGGCCGATCAAAGTTTTACATAGGAATACATAGGGAAAATCTTTAAAAATCTTCTTCTCAAGAACCACTGGGCCAGGAAAGATGAAACCCTTTCGGAATCATCCTCAGGTAATGTAGATTCAAGTTTGTTCAAATCATGACCCAGGGGGGAGGGTGGCGCCAAAATGGCCGATCAAATTTTTACACAGGAATATATAGGGAAAATCTTTAAAAATCTTCTTCTCAAGAACCAATGGGCAAGGAAAGATGAAACTCATGTGGAATCATCCTCAGGTAATGTAGATTCAAGTTTGTTCAAATCATGACCCAGGGGGTAGGGTGGGGCCAAAATGGCCGATCAAAGTTTTACTTAGGAGTATATAGGGAAAAATCTTTAAAAATCTTCTTCTCAAGAACAACTGGGCCAGAAAAGATGAAACATGTGGAATCATCCTCAGGTAGTGTAGATTCTAGTCTGTTCAAATCATGACCCCGGGGGTTTAAATTCAAGCCCCTTCCCCCCCCCCCTCCCCCCTCAGTTAACTTTCAGTTCTGATCTCATGTGCTTCTTCTTCTTCCACTGTCTGGCCTCCTTCATCAAGTTGAAGATTATGCCAGTTTGGGTGTGCGCATGTTCGATTAAAAGAAATTTTTGTTTGTTTTTGTTTTTGTTTTTTTTATAAAAACTGGATAAAAGAAAGTTCAGATTTAGGGTGTCTTAACCACTTGAGATTTAATTATCTCAAGTGATTGTGCTGCCGCAGTGTCCTCTGGCAGGCTGTTCCATTCCTTGATAGTTCTACAGAAGTAAGACCACTTCCTGCAGTCCTTGGTTGCTGTTGGTATTGCAAACGAGTGTTGTTTTGTATGCCGTGATCTTCTTACAGGCTTAGTGAAGTGGTCCTCTTGTTTAATGGCTACTTTGTTATTTACTATCTTATACATCATTATCAATCTTGCTGTTTTTCTTCTACTTTTTAAGTTTTTCCATTCTAGATGTTTGATCATTTCTGCTACGCTGAATCTATTTCTATAATTACCCATTATGTATCGTGCCGCTCTTCTTTGCACCTTTTCTAACATATCTATCTGTCCCTGTTGGTATGGGTCCCACACTGTTGAAGCATATTCTAGCTGCGGTCTAACCAAAGATTTATAAGCTCTTTCTTTTATCGTCCTGGAGGATATATGAAGATTTCGTTGTAGGAATCCTAAGGTTCTATTGGCTTTCTTGCAGATATTTGAAATATGTAGTCCCCAGTTTAGATCAGATGTTATAGTACAGCCTAGGTATTTAGTGGACTCTTCATGGGTAAGTACATGATTATGTAGGGTGTAGTTAAAAATAATAGGATTTTTCTTTTTTGAGACTGTGAGTACCGTACATTTATCTGGGTGAAATTTCATTTTCCATTTTGTTTCCCAAAGAGAAAGTTTATTTAGGTCTTCTTGAAGGATATGGCAATCTGAATTCGTTGAAATAGTTAAGTATACTTTGGTATCGTCAGCGAAGAGTCGTACTGTAGAGGTCAGGTGGTCCGGTAGGTCATTGATGTAGAATAGGAAAAGGCTGGGTCCTAGTACTGATCCCTGGGGCACTCCATACTTAACCCTTCCGACGTCGGACTCTTCCCCTTCGACCACTACTACCTGGCTCCTATTTGAAAGGAAAGCTTCGATCCAACGATGTGTGTTTCCTGTGATACCATAATGATGTAGTTTATGGAGAAGTAGAGTCTAGACTGTGGGAAACTTTATCGAAAGCTTTAGAAAAATCTAGGATCAGAAGATCTGTTTGCTTTCCATTTTTTTTCATGCTTTTTCCTAGCCAATTGCTCAGGTGAGTGATGTGGCCCCTGGGCCTCTTGTTTTTATTTGTACAATATATTCTGATTAAGTGTGTTATTTTCACAGACCTTGAAATTTCTGATCATAAAATGCTGATTTTAACAATCAAAAATTAATAAGCAAACAGAAAAAAAGTTGGTATTCTTGTCTAATTTTCTTTAGATGACCCTTGTACAGTATACATAAAGAGGTTTTTTGACCTCTAAAAAATGAGTTTAAAGTCACTACTACCCTCTTCCCAATGGGACACCTTGGGCAAAATATGAACCCAACTTGGTCGAGTAAAGTCATACAAGGATTTCAAACAGAGGTTTCATTACCCTGCCCTCTAGTTCAAAGTCAATGTCCGGCTTCTACTATTGAACTGGAAAAATTGTTAAAGCTCACTATACACATTATTAGACTTCCCTCAGGCAATCTATGGTGAATAAATCTTAAATCAAACCTATAACATGTATAATACCCAGTCACTGTAGCATTTGTAAAATGTCACCTGCCTGCTGGATGAGGAGGTTAGATCAAATCACATGTAAATTTCAATTAATGCACAATACATGTACATGTATCTGAACATACTGTATACAGGGTTATTTTGGCCCCATGTAATTTTCGCCCTTTTGCACTTGCAAACAGTTTTGCCCTGTTTTAAATTCGCCCAGTACTACTTCTGTTTAAGAAAAAATACTGTTTAATTTGAATTCGCTCTGTTTAAAATTCCCCAAATCAAGAAGAGGGCGAAAGGGGCAAAAATAAAACAGGGGCAAAAATTTCTCTGTATACAGTATACAAATAAATAATTTAACTAGTGAGATAATCTTGAGACTGATTTAAATTGGAGCATTAAATTGAGAAGACAGGAAGAGGACATGGTGAATAAGGTACACCTTTTTATCACTTTACAATTATAAAATTACAAAACAAGATGTGTTTGTAAAACAATATGCGTCTGGCGGGAAGGAAGTTCGAAAAGCTATTTTTAGCATATACATGTAGGTCACAGTCAAGGTCACAAGGTCATTGATTCTGGTATCATTTGAATGGACTTTTTCGGTGGAGTATGCATAAATTATACCAATTATGAAAACTCTTTCTCTCACATTTCAAAAGGTATGGCGAAGGTTAGAGTTGACAACAGGCAGATAGGCTAACAAACAAATCAATTTTAACACACAAATAAACAGATAGGCAGACAAACAGGCAGACAGGACAAAAACAATATACGCTGAAGATCTATCAATCTGGGTACATAAAAACAGAACATATTACATAGATTCACAAGTGTAAACAATGAGTTATCTGACCTCTTTATCCTGTATGTGTACATCACTGATTCCTGGTATTGGGGACTTTGGTATCACTAAAAAGTGGACAGGGGCCTGTGGTGAAACATCTTGGAAAGCCAGGCACTACAAATAGAAAGTCATGTACTAAAAACAGAAAGCCAGGCACTAAAAAATAGAAAGCCAGAAATAAGCTGATTATAAAACAAAGTTACAACAAGGGAGTCAAATAACTGTTGACATACTTTTCTCCACGGGGTCATAATTCCACAGAATCTCAATTTCTGGTTAATCCACGGGTAAAAATGAAGCAGATTTCTTAGACTTTCATTATATGCCTTAAATTTACATGAAGTGCGCTTGGACAAATTTCCGCGGAAAGTTTGAGACCAGGTATATAGCGTAAATTAATACCATGGGGAAAAAACATCATCGGAAACCCACGGGTGATCTCGTCTTTACTAATCACCCGTGGGCCCATGGGTGATACATGTAAGTAAAGACGAGAACACCCGTGGGTTTTTGACGATGGGAAAAAGTACTTCTACAGTATCTCAAGATTATTCTTGGTCATCTTTATCAGTTCTATACATGTACGCTACATTGTACACGTGCATGTACAAAGTACATGCATGTATATATGCTTTACAAAACTTGATTGAATTCATCATAAACATTCATGGTAACAGATTCTTAGGTTCCCTTCTGTATTGACTTAATTTATCCTTTTAATGTAACAATTCAATCAAAGATTTTACTTTTATCAGACTTGGTTCAAAATTTTATAAAATAAATTCTACAAATCTGCCTATTTCTTTGTCAAAATGAAGTAGTACTGTTTCTGTAGATAACTCATTGTAACTGATATGTTGAAAACAGAGAATGCATCTTAGATCTATCTTAGCAACAGCTAATTCCAATTTTTTTTTTTTCTGCAGTAACTTGGAATTATTATGAGTACATGTATAGAAAAGTTAACAAACTATACAGACAGGCCGGAAGAATTTGATCAGAAATGCTCACTTGATTGACTTGACTTTATAATTCATATGTGTGAAAACACCCAATATAAATGTACAAATGCAGCAAAGAAGATGTTTAACAAACCAGTTCATCTTCGTATATGATATCTGCCGGGATTGACTTATCAACAATCTTGGAGAAAATGGTTGGTTCTCCGGTCCTCTTTGAACCCTGGGCTTTTTTCACCTCATCACACAAGAGAGTTCTACTTGTTGTATAATTCTGTTGACAGAAAGAAGAGATATATTTAGCTTCTGTTTTCATTAATCTGTTATAGGCAAAAACAATAAATTTATAATCAACTAATTTAAAAAAATAAAACTTGTATGTTTCCTGGAAGCTCTAAACACTGCACACTAAAGAGAGAGGGTAGATTTATGCCCTTAGAAGTAAATGTAATGTTTTTATTTATGTATATTTATGCTACAGTTGCTAATAAAATAGGAATATTATTTTTGTTTATTTGATAAGCCCTAACCATGGTACCTGATTAGCGCCCTTATCTTGGAAGTCTAATTAGTGTCCTAGTTAATATGGCACTTATCAGATGCTAAATGTAGTGTCTTGACACCTAACAATGGTGCATATGCCCTAATGATGAAGCCGATTGCCCTAACTGGGTGCCCTAATGATGGAGCCTAACACCCTAGCAGGTGCCCTAACGATGGAGCCTAATGCCCTAACTAGGTGCCCTAAATCACGTTAGGTGTCAGACAGGGTATATAAGGAGAGAGAGTTAGTGAGTTGATATACATTGCTTGTACTGGATTGTAATCTACGTTTGGATATTATTGATATACTTGTTGAAACAAACTTTGTCGTTGTTCTGATGTTAGATCTATAAAGATCTAAAGTTCCTATCATCTACACGGGATCCACAATATTTTGTGACGCGGGTTACGACAAACACCCCATAGAGAGAAAAACTTTACATAAATTTATTAAAATTGTTATTTACAGTTAATTACACAATTTGTAAGAGCCAGAAGAGCGAGCTAAATAGACTAGATTGGAAGAACAGATGAAATTTGGAATGAAATCCGTACACACCTCAAGCAAATTTTTTGTGTGAAACCTTCCCAGAATTCCTTTGCTACCAGAATTCCTTTGATAATGTCAAATAAATAAATAAGGTAAAACATAAAACGCTCTCAGTTTATAAAAGAAACAAAAATACTCTACATCTTTCATTAAAATTTGCACTAGGTCTATCAACCTGACACTACGTTGTCTCTCAAACAAGCTCCGTTACACCATTTGATGTCACAGTCTAGATGTCGCATGCAAATTGAATATATGAAGTAGCGGATCAATGTTCCAAGTGTTATAATTAATAGTACAACTGTGCTCGCCCTAATCCAAGATTCCTCTGACTCTTAAAGTCTTAACCCTGCTTTTTATACAGGGTTTTGAGTCAGAGGAATCTCTGATTAATATGCTCACCCCAATGATCACAACGCAAAAGATATAGATTAAGATGTTTTTAGCATTTTAAATTAAGACCAAGAATAAGTAATTCAATTCATTAACGACTGTGATTTCTGCTTAAAAATAGTCCATTGTCGTCGAACTTTTTTATTGTTTAAATAAAGCAGGTACTCCATGTTATAATTGTATATGAATGAAAAAGTCTTTTAATATATACACCTTTATATTGTTATGTAATATATTTTTTTCTCCAAGTCCAGAAAGCAGATTTTGTTAATGTTTAGAGCTTCCTAAAGAAATACCATTTTAAAAATACATGTATTTTAATAAAATTAATTGAAATATCTGGCGGTATTATATTTATACACTTTCTACTATAAATAAAATATATTTTACAGTTTAACAAGGTATATTTTTAAATTTATAATCTGATAATCCACAGGGGCTTGCTCCCGGCGTGTAATAAATATTTATTTAAAAAATCATATACCGCAATAATAGTGTAGTTTTATTATTATGGTATATGATTTTTAATAAATGACTATTACACGCCAGGAGCAACCCCTGTGGATTATCAGATAGCCTACTTTACACATATTTAATGTGTAACACTGTGCAGAATTTCTCAGGTAATTTACGGCTGTATAAGAATTCTTCTTGTATCCAACAAGCGTCCTGTGTTGACATAACTGTGTTCTGAACAGGCAAGCTGAAAATTTTCTTATACTAGCTGCCATGATCCAGTTGTTCAGTTTCTCTTTATGCAAACCGAAAGTACGTTTATTATCATAAAAACGAAAATTGGTATCTCGATCCCGATCATCATGGGCATAGATATCACCAGGGTCATTCTACGGATAGAGGCCCAAACGAACTTTCCAAAAGTCGGAATTCATATACCCTATTTTATTCAATTTTTCTGCGTTATTTACTTAATCTAACTTAATCTAACTTAGAGGACATGCGCGGATCTAGAGGGGGGGTCAGGGGGGTCAGGACCCCCCTTGGAATTTACCAGGTTAAAAAATGTATATACTAAAACAAGAAAAAAGTTACCATGGACCCCCCTGGTAAACGCGAATATGTGTGAAATGGGTATGAATAGTGAAAGATTTGACGCAATAGAAGTCACCACTACCCCCCCCCCCCTCCCCCCCCCCCACCCCCCCCACGAAATAGGTTAATTTTTGACGTTTGGGCGAGTTTAGGTTTTTTTTTTTTTTTTTTTTGCTTGTCAAGAAATTTCTGGGATTGGATTTTTTTTCTTACTGGGGTGGACCCCCCCTGGAAAAAATTTCTGGATCCGCGCCTGGAGGAAACCATTTCAACATGCAGCAGCAATGTTTAAAATATTTTATTGCTTATTTTGAGACTTACACATACATACATGAAAAAAAATGTCATTACCGCAACAGACGACTATATCGTCATAAAATATTGTTAAAGTATTAAACCATTTTTTTCATAGTTTGAAGTAATAAATCTTAATTAGTAATATCTTATCTTCATGATTATTTGAAACAGTCATGGTTTGAGCAAAATTAATTTTAAAACAGGTAATTCATCAGCATTTGAAAACAATTGTTCAAAACACTGTGTATTATTTAGATGTAGGTTAGTCTCGCCTACCTCCAAGGACTGGACCCACATATGGGAGTTATTTGTAACAGGCTGTTATGCATAAAACACTATAATAGTGTTGTAAAATCCATGCACAAGACAATCTAAAGATGATTTGTCATTACCGTAACACTGATTTCATTACCGAAACGATTTGATTCAAGGGATTTGTTTCGGTAATGACAGTTTCGGTAATGACATTTTGAAATGTTAAACAGAATATAGAGGGCGCTACTAACCAAAAGGGGTTTAATAATGTACAACACAATTCAAAACCAATCTATATTTCTTTCTAAACAATTAATTACTTTTTTCCTAGGTGATCGTACTTTTATTGTAGCAAGCATTCAGTAATGACACTGAATAAACATACGCTTGAAAGTAAGACCATTTACAATGTAATATCTGCTTACTTACCCATTGGAGAGCGTTATGCCTTGTACATCAAAGATAGCGGTTTCTGAAACTTTTAATCACGTGGCTTCTTCTTTTGGATTATCTTTCTTGTCTCTTATATTTTGCAGTTTTAGCTCATGTAATGACAATAATATCAGGGGCCCCGTTTTACAAACAATAAATTATTTAAAAAGAGAATTTAGTAACCCGTATCTTTTTAAAATCAACAATGAATATTTTATTATATCTTAGTGATCTCGACAGGTTAAATTTTGACAGAAAATTCAGTTTTCATACACGCATATTCAATATTACAAATTCGATTTTGTTGTTTGGGACATAGCATTTCAAAGCAAGTCCATGACGTTAAATTATTTTTTTAGAAGTAATATTGCTTTCAGGGGTGTCCTTATGGTGTGTATGCATATCTATTATCTCGTTCTATAATATTCCAGATTTATTTCTAAAATTTCATAAACCAGATATTGCTCAACACAAACTAAAATGACGGGACACCATTTGGGCCTCTGTTTGTAGAATGACTCACCACCGAGATTTTGTGAGAAACCAGAACTTTTGAAGAGAAAATACGCATGGTGAGATTGTCGGTCGGAACATTTACATGTAGAAATGAACTAAAAAGACCAGCAATGTATTCAAAAGTAATAAAAATCACATTCCAGGAAAACATAGGCATAATGAATTGTGCAGTGGTGTATAGCAGGGTTCGACATTCGCGCTCGTCACCTCGTCATTTCCACCCTGAAATGATTTCGGACGACCTGATTTTCAGTCTGGCTCGCCCAAATGACGACCTTGGGCAAGTTGGGAATATTTAGGCCTAATAATGATGTTTAATATTTTAATCTAAACTTCATAAGACCTTCAAAACATCAGCCGAGTAGATTTTTTTTCCTGCCAAATCTGCGTTCGATCAATCAGCTGATGCAATTTTTACTAAAAGACTTTAATGAAGTTTTATTTGAGATATAAAATATGCCAACTTAGTCAACAATCACCTTATATACAAGATACAAGATACAAGATTTTATTAATCCAATTTGGGCCCCCGGAGGAGCAAAAAGATTTACAAATAGAAGGAGGAGGATCCAAATGATAGAACAAGCGTTATGATGAGATTACAAATAAACAGCAATTTAAAAAAAAAAAAAAGTATATAAGAGATATACTGAATATACATACATGTATTGTATTGTAAGTTACATACAAATATATATAATTTATACATATATGTATATATATATATAGTTAAGGGCAAGAAACTGGGAAAGAGGTATATAATTTTTTATGCTTATCACAATATCTTCAATTAAGGTAAATTACTAAGGAATGCAGCAAGTGATCTAAGGATGTCTGGGTCTTCATTAGTCATGAGCCAATAAAATTGATTATCATAAGATAGAGATTGAAAATTTTTACATTTAATTTTACAAATATTTATGAGTTCAAGTCTTTGTACATTAAGATGAGGACATACAAGGAGAAAATGAATTTCATCCTGAATCTCGTTGTGATGACAAAGTGAACAAATTCGTTCCTCTCTTGGTATTTTTTGGTAACGTCCAATTTCAATTTTAAGCCTGTGAGCCGATATTCTTAACTTTGTTAAAACTGATCTATGTTGATTGTTTGTAAGAATATCTAGATAAGGTTCAAAACAAAATTTAGTCTTTATGCTGGTAAAGGTAGACAATTTGCCATCTTTATGTAAATTCCTGTCTTTTTCCCATTTTAATTTATAGAAATTCAGTAATATTCTTTTCAAATTGGTTTTAAATTGTGGGGTTGACATACCTAGGAAATCACTAATTTTAATATCAATATGGTTAAGTAAGAAGTTAACACAAGAATACCATGAAGTAAAACCATTTTGGTGTAGTGTTTTAGAGCAGTTGAAAGCCTCACTAAGCAAGGGAAATTCACCATCTAGATTCTCTAATCTATGCCAGTATAACAACATATTTTTAATGACATCAAAATGTAAATTCAAACGTCCTAGCTCAGATCTTACAGCAAAATTGCTGCTTTTACCATGAACCATTAGTAAATGTTTGTAAAATTTAAGATTTAGAATTTCGCCTTCTAAGCTTTGGTATATTTTGTCTAGTGTTATATTTGGATTTCTCTTAAATTTAGAGGTTGTTGGGTCAAAAAACCCCCATAACTCCGAACCATACAGGATAATGGGTTTAATAGTGTGGTCAAATACATTTAAAGCAGTTCTAATTGATGGATTAAATGTGAAAAAGTCTTTTTGAAGTTTGAAATAGGCTTTTTTGGCTTTGTTACAACAATCATTTTTAGCATTACTTAGTGTTCCAGATGCATTAACAGTCAGACCCAGATACTTGTATTGTTTAACACATTCAATACTGTTGTTATCCAGATGAAAGGGAATTTTAACGTGTTTACCAGATGAATTGAAGACTATAATTTTTGTTTTCTTTGTATTAACTTTGTATATATAAATAGTAATAATCATCATTGTAACATCTTGCATTTCCCCTACATCTTTTTGATCATAATGATCGTTTTCTGCTGCTAGACAGCCATGTTGGGTGTCCACTGAAATATAACACCTGGTTAATTCAGTCCACGGTTATTTGACCCTATTTATTTAGGCCTTCATGGTAAGTGAAAATGAATGTTTCAAACTACAAACTTTAGCATTCTGCATGTCTGATTCTGCTTATATTTTTGTTTGATAAAATACTAGAAGACATCTTTACATTCCAAAAATGTCTGGTTTACATTTTTTATACAAAAACACAACTTCTATTAATTATCATAACAAATTTTAAACAATTTTCACATTAAGTTTTGTTTCAATTGATATTTTATTTGGACGACCTGAAATTCATTCGGGCAACCTGTGATCCTACCAAGGTTGCCCGAATGGCGAGACCAAATTTTGACGAGTGTTGGACCCTGGTATAGTACATGTATAACATCTTCCCCTAAAACGGATTGTGTCAATTTTCATTTATCAGTTTATTGCTTTTTTTTTATCGTTATTCATGTTATTCTAAATTATTTTAAAGTATTTTTTTATTTTCAAAATTAGTAACTGGAATGGTATTCTTTATTTGAAAAATGATGAGTAGATACTTTTAGAAATGCATGAACCTAATACCAGAATTTCTGCATTGTATATAGCTTAAATTAAAGCAACAAATCATTTATCCTTGTACATGTATTTCATTATGTTGTGGTTTTGGCCATGGAAATTTTATAGCCTAGGTAACACAATCGGTAAAGCACCTGACTATAAGTGTGCGACTTCGTGGCTTTTTAGTGGTTATACATTGTAACAGCCGAGTTGAAGCACCCAGTTATTTGTTGCGAGTGTTCGAATCATACTATTATTTAAAAAATCTTGTTTGGGTAAGCGGTTTAATGTCAATACAATTATGGACTGTTTAGAAGGGAGACATCACCAATTATCAGGTCTGAGTAGGGTTGTCACCCGAGGGCGCTTGCGTCCGAGGGTGACAACTCGACTCAGACCTGATAATTGGTGATGTCTCCCTTCTAAACAGTCCATAATAGTTTTATTATCCTGAAGAATATATGATTTATTAATTAAGTACAGTAGAAAATAGTAATCAAACCTCTTGTTTCCCTCTACTCTGCCCTGATTCCACTTTCAAAATATGCCAACAGACAACTTTGACGTCATCGTTAGAATTTATTGTTTACCGATCCTGCATATGTATTAATCGTACTTATAAATAAG